TATGTACAGATTGTGATGAGTTGTATGAGCCCCTAATAAAATGATTATTTAAAAAAAATTTTTTTAAACTGAAATTGGTTATCATTAAAAAGTAAAAAAATAAATAAAACCACCAGCCCCTTGGCGGGAGAAAGATGAGGCTTTCTACTCCAGTAAAGAGTTGTACTCTTGGAAACCCACAGGGGCAGCTCTACCCTACGGTCACCATGAGTCAGAATTGACCCGATTGCAGTGAAGTTGGTTTTTTTATTATTATTATTTTTGGCATCAGTCATATGCCCACACATTTTTTGCCCTGTACAGTTTGTTTTGTGTGCATTTACTCAAAGTTTTAGCTCAGGTAGTAATGAGACTTTTTTTGGTAAGGACTGGTTTCAACATTTGAGATTCCCATTTGCCTTATTCTTGCAAGATGGAATGTCAAAATAAATGACAGATGTTGCACTCTGTTCAGGCTCTCTCTCTCTCTCCTCCTTCTCCCCTCCTCTCCTCTGTTTCTCTCTCACATGGCCTTTCTTTGATCTCTTACTAAACTGCTCAGCGTTACTCTCTCTGGTGGAGCATGTCTGAGAGGGAGTGGCTGGTTCAGGAAGCTTTCTTGCAACCAAACATACTTGGACAACAAACATATGGGGGGAAATGGGATTAGCCGTTAGAACAATGTAAATCAAGACAGCAATGAGGTCATCTCACCCCAGCATTCATAGCAAACTTGGAAAAAGAAGAACCGAGAGGGAAAAACAAATGCCGGCAAGGATGTAGAGAGGGGAACCCCTCCCTATACACTGCTGGTGGGGCGGGGACATGGTGCATAGGAACGTCAGATGACTCAGCATTCTCTCCAATTGGTATATATCCTAGACACATTAGGGCCATAGCATGTGTGCGGTGGTTACATAATCTGGTGTCAATTTGAGGATTCAAAGTGAAGGGGTGGAGTCTAGCCTGTCAATCAGGTCGTAGCTTGATGACCTCATTGGCAGGCGCTAAGGAGCTAAATAGCTCACTGCAGCCAGGACACAGGCTCACTCCCTGCGAGACATTCTTGTTGACGAGCCACGTGGAGACAGGCTGATGGCAGTCAAAACTCGGAGCTGGAGAAGTCACGCAGAGAACCCTGCCAGGGCTGAATGCTTACACCACCACTGGACCCACAAGACTTTCCACCCACTGGCCTGTGGTCTTTTGCATTCGGCCTCATTGCATGTGTTTCGTGAGTCTGAAGAGGACTTTATAGATTGGTATCTGACATATGGGCGAATATCGGACTTATGGACTTGGTCTGGACTAGGCTGGGATGTTTTCTTAATATATAATTTCTCTTTTATATAAAGTTATTTCTTATACCCATGAGTGTCTATGAATTTGTTTCTCTAGTGCCTAACACAACGTGACTCATGTGTATCACAGCACAAATCGTGATAGTCAAACTATGGAAACCAGCCATGAAAAAACAAGAATTCATTGCCATCGAATCTACTCTGATTCATGGCCACCCCATAGGACAGGGTAGAACTGCCCCTGTGAGTTCCCAAGACTGTGACTCTCGACGGGAGTAGAAAGCCTCCTCTTTCTTCGGAGCCATGGAAGACTGAGTCAATCAGGCATGTTACACACACAAGACAAGGCAATGCAATGTGAAAGACGACGGACACATGTACAAAACACTTCACCACTGGCGTGTGCCTGCAGGACACGCTGTGGGGGGCAACTCGCCCATCCCACACACACACAGGGGAGAAGACCACTATTGTAAAAGTCAAGAACGGGGTTTCGCACTGAAAAGAGGAAGACGTACTTTCCAATGAACGCGGTCCACATCTTCTTTTTAACAAAACGCATTCTTTTTATTGTTCTCATTGGCTCCCTTGAGGGGGTTCTCAGCAAGGTTCCTGGTGGGGATGCCAGCCGTCTGACCCCTGCTCAGGAGCATGGGGGCGAGGAGGGGGTGGGTGGATGGCCAGCAGAGAATTGAGTATTTGGTGTGACTCCTGGAGGGGCGTCACGGGGGGTCCCTGGGACCCACTGTCATGATGGTCTTGACTTCAGCCTGAGCAGTGGGCTCAGCCTCGTCCGTAGAGAGGGCTCCATCCTCATCTCCGTCACTGCCATCTCGGATCTCCACGCTCATCTCCTCTTGGGACTTGGAGGAACTGGAGGCAGCATTTCTGCTGGAGGACTTGTAGAGCTTGGGTTCTGATAGGCTGCTCTGCTCTTCTTCCTCTCCCTCCTCCTCTTCCTCCTCCTCCTCTTCCTCCTCCTCTCCCGTCTCCTCCTCCTCTTGCTCTTCCTCCTCCTCCTGCTCTTCCTCCTCCTCTTCCTGCTCCTTCTCAGCAGTAAGCTCCGGAGAACTCGGCAGCTCCGTGTTGTGGATGCTGGCTTCCTCCGGGTCCGTGGTGGACTTAGGCTGTGTAGAGGGTGACTCAGAGGTGCGGCGGGAGATGCTGCGCCGAAAGGGCCTTTTCTGGGAAATGCTGTGCGGAGAGGGACGGTGCTGAGAGGTGCTGCGCTGTGAGGTCTGGTGGGACACCCTCTCTTCTAGCTTCTGCAACAGGCAGGACCAGTTCATCTGTGAGGACAGACGGATGCCAGCCTTGGCCACCTTCTTGAAACCCAAGAGGAGATCAAGGAGCACTTCGGTGACTGTGAAGGAGATGAAACCCAGCTGCTTGGTGAGGCCCCTCTCAAACTGATACTTGCACAGGAGCAAGGCCACCGCCTGTTCCACCAAGAAATTGAGGCCCTCCTCCTCCCAGGGGTCCGAGAAGGGGGACGAGGTGGATTTGGAGATACAGGGCAGCGGCTTCTTCTTGGTTAACTTGGCCTGGGAATTCTGTGTAGGAGCAGGGGGAGGAAAAGGGACATGTCATGACCCTGATCCCCCACTCAGCCTCACCCCAATGACCACCCAAGGACCCTCCCCCCAGCAGCCACCCCGGTCTCTTCACCCACACAAGTGCTCCCCTGGTCACACCTTTGACACACTCACTCTGCTGTGACGTCTTGGTGGCTAAGGAGCACACATTCTGCACATGCACGCGCCAACCTGGTCACACGCTGACCACCCTGTAACACCTGTCACTCTCTGTCAAAGCCAGGGGCCACAGACACAGCGTCAGCCAAGCATGAGATGTGCCGCTGGGGGCTTCTGCAGTCCCTACTCAGGCCTGGTTGCAGGGCAGGGCAGCTGGCACAGGGACCCGTAGGCGGTGGTGGGTCTGCCAGCTGGACCCAGGGCTGGAGCTAGGATCTGCCAGCTTGAGAAAGCCCACCTCTGTCTTCCACTCCCTGCTCCCAGGCATCTCCCCGGGGGAGCAGCAGGGCTAGGAGGGCCTGCCTCAGACCCCTGGATCCTGGATGAGAGGGCTCTAGGCTACTGTCTGTGAGGCAGGAGAATCAAACACCAAACCATCAAACCTCTGGGAGTGGGGTGCTCCACACCTCACCTAGAAATGTTTAAAAGGCACCCAGCATTAAAAAATAACCTTTATTTGCCTTTGACAATCCCTGTCATTTGTTTGACGGGGGTTCCTGGTCCCCCTACCCCCCACCATCGTGTCCCCTTGCTGACGTGGCTGCTCATGGTGCGGGGCACCCAGCCAGGTGACAAGGATTGCTAGGAGGTGTGATTAAAAGGAGCTGCCCCTCTTCACAGCTGCCCCCCCGCCGCCCCCACACCCCGGGTCCTTTCTCATAGAGACCCTCTTGGAAAGCAGTGAAGTAAAGGAGAAAGAGAGGTGGCCTCTTGAGGAGGGGCGAGGGGAGAAGATGGACATGATGTGGTGGGAGGGGCCCTGCTGGGGGGACCCTAGGGAGGAGGAGCAGGGTTGGCTAGAAGGTACATCCACCACTATCCCAGGGATCTTCGTCATGGGGGGCAACCCGCACCAGAGCTGGTCCCTCTGGCTCTGGGGTTCACAGTCGGACCTGTCAAGTTTCTCGGGCCTGGAAGGTGAGGGGCCGGGAAATTTGAGTGCTCCTGTGGGTGTCACCTTGGGCTTGAATTTGGTGACCACCTGGCTGCCAGAAGAGGGCAAGACTTCTTCCTTGACTCTGCCCTGTTCTCTGCTCTTGGCAGTTTTCTGGCCACGTCGTATCTTGGGGTTGGAGGCTATGGTAGGGAGTGGGTTGTTGGACTCCTTCCTGTTGGTGGGTAACTTTGAGACGGTGCTCAGTGGCTTCTCTGAGCTGGGCGTTGGCCTGGGCTCCGGGGTGGGCTTGTTGGTCTCCGGGGAGAAGAGTGGGTAACCGTCGTGGCAATAGGCACCAGTGAGCTTTTCCACGGCATGGCAGACCACGTGCTGCAGGGCGGCGAAGAGGCGGTGGTTGGCCAGCATGTCCAATGTGCGGTGGGGCTCTCGGGCTGGGCAGTAGCCTGGCAGATGGATGGAGTCCGGCCCGTTCAGCAAAGACTTCATTTCCTTGTGGAACTCCCGATTCAGATAGACAAACTCCTGCTGAGCAGGCCCCAGCTTGGAGGCCGCAGGCGTGGTTGAGCCCGAGCCCAACAGCTCTGAGAACCAGGCCAAGGGCTGTTCAGGCGTCCACTGACTGCTGCCCTGGCTGCCCCGGGAGTCCCACAGTGAGGAGTTCATGCTATGACATTTCTGCAGACAGGGAGGGAAAGAGGGAGAGAGAGGCCGCTGAGGAATTCTGGGATGACTTGGGGAGGTGAGGCAGCCCTGCCAACTCAGCCCAGTCTGGAGCTGTACCCCACCTGCCCCCCCCCACTCTCCCTCAGCTTCCTAGACCTCACCCCTCTTTTCTCCAGATGCATCAGTCGCTTCAAATTCCTTTCCAGAAGCAGTCTGTCCTTCATGGGGGGTAGGGGCCCAACTCCAGGAGCTTCCAGGTCGCTGTCTCTGCTCCGCCAGCCCAGCCCACCTACAAAGAAGCTGCTGCAGGAGCTGGACGAGGTGCTGGAGCAGGACGGGTAGTTGTTGAGAGAGCCCATGCACAAACTGGGCCTGGCCCGGTGTCGATGCACAGTACTGAGGCTGGGTCGGACCCGAATCCGGTGTCCATTGCAAGGGGCCTCTATGGGGTCCTGCACATCCACTAGGGCTCCCCCAGCTTCCGTCCTCATGTTCGCTACCCACTCCGTGGCGTCCTCCACAACAGTCTGTAGGCTGTCCAGCACCTGCCCTTCGGCCAGGAAATCCAAGAAAGTGCCAAAGGGCTGGGTGCCCCAGGCGGTTTGGTGGTGGCTCCGGGGAGCCGAGTCTTCCTGTCCATACAAAGATGGCTGATGCGGTTCGTGCCTCAGCCTGGAGGTTGGGCCCACTTCCGGGAACAGCGGCTTCCGGGGTGGCTGCACCTGAGTAGATGGGTATGTCAAGGTGGGTAGAGATTCCCTGCAGAAGGAGGGGCCTGCTGGAGACCCTTCTTAACCCTGGGAGGGGAGCGGGAGAGAGGCAATAGAGGGGGAAACTGTGTTTTGGTGTTGGGTAGCTCTGGAGCAGGACTTCGGCTTTACTTGTCAATTCTGACTCACAGTGACCCTTTACACCAGGATAGAACTGCCCCTGTGGCTTTCTGAGACTGTCACTCTTTTGAGGAGGAGAAAGCCCCATTTTTCTCTCGAGGAGAGGCTAGTAGGTTCGAACTGCCAACCTTACAGTTAGCAGCCTAATGGGTAACCACTATGCTACCTTAGCCCTCCTCATCTGCAAAGTCAGAATGTAATTAGCACCTCCCCCACCCCGCCAGCCTCCTTGATGCACATTTCTCTGGTGTTGCCCGCACTGCATGGTGACAAGGGGCAAACACAACGCTGCCCACGCTTTCTGGAGTGTTCTATCGGCAGTGTGGGAGAGGTCCCTGACTAGACTCCACTGCCTGGCTCCTTATACTACCTGAGGTCCTGTTCTCTGCACCCCTGGTCAGTGTACCTAGCCCTTCCCAGACCACCCGAGGGAGAGGAGGGTTCTGAGAAGAAGCTGGCTGGGGACCACCAAACTCACTCATCGCCTGTGAGTTGATGCCCTCTAATAGCAATCCCGAGTAGAAAGCCCTGTCTTCCTCCCGCAGAGGGGCTGATGTTGGAGTTAGGGGCCCAGTTCCCAACCACTGTGGCACCAGGGCTCTGCCTTGGTCAAAGATAAAGTCCCAGGAAGGAGGTCCGGTGGAGGCTTGGTAGCCATCTCCCACTGGCTGCGACAAGGGATTCAGAGGAGGCCGTCGGGTCCCATAAAGACTCAGCCCGGGAAACCCCAGGGGGCAGTTTTACTCTGTCATGGTCGCTGAGTCGGAATTGACTCCAGGTCCGTGGGGTTGGTTTGGCCCAGGGAGAGTTCAAGGGGAGTGAACAGGGGGCGCCGTGGGTTTTTAAGAGGTCCAGAGAGCACACTCACCCTCCGCATGTACACCGTGTGGCCTGCCTCATCGTCCGCCAGGTACCCGGAGTGGTGGCGGCATCTGGCCATTAATGCTCCGGCTGGCTCCGATCGTGCTGCACGACTGCCGCCTTCTCTCTGCTGAGAAGAGACAGCGGGCTGAGGGTACCAGCTCTGCCACGAGCGGCCCCTCCACCCCTCGCACCCCCTAAGCCCCCCCACACAACCATGTACAGCATTGTCGGTGGTGGGCGTCCCGGAGGATGTCCCTGGCCCTCCCTTCTTCCAAACCCAGGGTGAACCCGCTCACCTGCACGCGCTCAGTCGGTGCCCGCCTGCACTGCCTGGAGCACTAACTAACGCTGAGCTCGGGCCGCCGGCCTAGGTGGCTCGCTCATTTGCATGTTGCGTCCTGATTGGTGTGCACGGACCCACTAGCCATTCTGCGCATAATAATGGGGCGGGGCCGTCTGGACTCCTCTCTCGCCTCACCTGGTTCTGCTTCACTCCCACATTCCAGTGAGAGTTCTGGCCTTGAGATGCTGCTAAACCCCGCCCCCACTCACCCACCCCTGAGAGGGCGGGATGAGGGTGGCTGGGTGGAGAGAGGATGGGCGCAACACACCAGTGCCCCAAAAGGACATCTTTACCTCCTCTCTCCTTAGTAAACTCCTCAACACGTCCCCTCCTTTGGGCAGCCTTCCCAGAGCTCATCCGGAACTGGGTGATTTCTTTTTCACTCAATAGCACCCTTTTGAGTACCTTCATGCCTAATATTTCCAGTGTCTGGCCCATCTTCAAAAGAAAACAAAATAAAATTTCCAGCCTCCACAACCCTGAAATCAGAAGACGTAGATGGTGCCCAGCCACTACTCCCAACTGCTCTGAAAGTGGGAGATCCTTGATAGAGGGGGAGAAAAATGTGGAACAAAACTCAAAAGCATCAGACAGACCAGGTTGCCCTCAACCCCACCTCCCACCTCCAGGAGGATGAACAACAAAAACATGGGCGAAGGGAGACAGCGGATGGTGTAAGATATGAAAATAATTTCTAATTTATTGAGGGTTCTGGAGGGTGGGGGAGGGAGGGAAAAAAGAGGAGCCGAAACCAAGGGCTCAAGTAGAAACTGTTTTGAAAACGATGATGGCAACATATGTACCATCACATGTACATCATGTGTTTGATACGACAGATGTATGGATTGTGATAAGAGCTCTAAGAGCCCCCAATAAAATGATTTATTAATTTAAAAAAAAAGACAGACCAGTTGACTGGTCTGACAGAGGTTGGTGGAAGAGACAATTGCCCTTTGACACCCTCAGATTTGGAACTGAACTTGCTCCAAGGCTCAGCTCACGGCTATTGAGTCGACGCCTACCCATAGTGACCCTATAGGACACGATAGAACTACCCCGTGAGTTTTCAAGACTGCCACCACTTAGGGAGTAGAAAGCCCCATCTGTTTCCCGCACAGCGGCTGGTAGTTGCCAACCTGTGCCTTGCAGATCACAGGCTAATGCAGAACCACGATGCCACCAGGGTAGGCAGTCGCCTTCTTTCGGTAGTTTTCTTCTGATGTCTCACACCTAGAGACCCAGTGCTGGCCCAAAGCCCCCTCCCCTGCCCCGGCCCCCCAGCCCAGTTCCAGTCTTCATGACAGGGTCCTCTCTGAGAGCACACGTCCCCTTGCTGGGCCTGCTCCCTCGCGTGAAGTAGGAACGGCACGGCTCGGTTTCCAGGCCTGCCGCAAATACTGAGGATCCTGGTGATGGCGTAGCGGCTCAGTTGGGCTGATAACGGCAAGGCCATCAGTCGAACCGTCGGTCGCTCCATGGGAGACAGAGATGAGACTTTCTACTCTTGAAAGGAGTGACCGTCTCAGAAACCTATAAGGAGCAGGTCTACCCTGTCCTACAGAATCGACTCGATGGCAGTGAGTTTGTTTTTGTTTTGTTTTTTGGAAGGGGAGAAAAAAAGAGCTTATGAATGTTAAAGTTGTGACCTGGGGTTCCAGAGAGGGAAATGGGCCAATGCTTTCTTTCTTTATGACTTGCCCAGATTAAACTCTTCAGTGACTGAACACTATTCACACAAACAATGGGGGTTGGTGAGAGAGGCAAACTTCAGTACTATAAATTGGCAGGGGAAGGACCGTGTCTAACAGATTAATACATGGCATAATAAAGCAAGGAAGGCATTAAAATAGTAAGTATACAGTAGTCCCGGCCCACCCTTCACTGGGCAATGTCAAGGCAAGAGATCCAAACCAGAACCCAACAACCCCATGGAGGTAACCGTCATCAGCTTCTTCTCACACTAGTGAGTTTCAGCCTTAAGTTCAAGGGGTACAGGTCAGATTGAGATAAAGCCCACTTCACTTAGTGGGGTTTCCACATCGGATCCTTCTGGTGTGGTCTAGGTAGGCTTTCTTAATCCAAGTATTGTTAATATATGTTTCCCTTGGTGTTTTTTTTTTTCCTCTCTTTCCAAAACACAAAACGAAATTAAGAAGCAACTGTCAAACTGAACAAAAACATATGGTTCACTTCAAGGGTTTGTTTCCTGACTGTTTCGAGTTCTTGAACACGTCTCCTCTTAGAAAAATCCACCAAAAAACCCATTAGGCCACTAAAACAAGAATGGAAATGGCTCATAAAAATACAAGATGGCTCATAGTAGGTGCTGTCAAGGTGGCTCTGACTCACAGTGACCGTATGTTCAACAGAAGGGAACACTGTCCAGTCCTACACCATCCTCACCGCTATCGTCATGTTTGAGCCCGTTGTGACAGCCCCTGGGTCAGTCCATCTGCCCGAAAGCCTTCCTCTTTCTCATTGACCCTCTGTGTTCACAGCCACTGCTTACCAAAGGAGGACCCTCATCACGCACTCCAAACAATGCAACAGAGACAAATCCCTCTGGGTAAGGAAAAAGAGGAACTGGCTGTGTTTAGTTGCTTAGAGAAAATACCAGAAGGGCAGGACAAGTTAACAGTGGGCCGAGCTCTGGGATGCTCTCTCCTCTTTTCTACAGAAGCCCTGATGGCATTGCAGGTTACCAATGGACTACGAACCTCAAGGTCAGCAGTTTGAAACCACCAGCTGCTCTGTGGGAGAAAAATAAGACTTTCCACTCTGGTCAGGAGTCATAGTGTCAGAGACCCTTAGGGGCAGTTTTATTCTGTCGACCAGGAGGCTCCCGATGAGTCAGAATTGATTTGATGGCAGTGAGTTTGTTTGAGTTGTATGTTCAAATGAAATATCAAACACACACACCCTTTAAAGGGAAAAAAAAAACCCTCTCATTACGAATTAGATGAGAGTTTACAGATCAGGTGATCTTTAAAAAGATGTGTTTACAATGGATGGATGGATGGATGGATGGATTGTGATAAGAGTTGTGTGAGCCCCTAATAAAATGATTTTTTTTAAAAGATCTGTTTAGTGTGAGTTAGGGAAGGTTCTGTCTGAACGAATTCAAGACAGTGCATCCACTCACTGTTTTATTGCTTATTCTGCTCTCTCAGTGAGCTTCCTGTTTCCAGACATCCTTCTTGTCTGTCTGCTACATTTTTTATCTTCTTAAAACTTTTTTTTTTTCTTAAAACTTTTTGCATCTTAAATGATTGCTTATTCTAGCACAAAAGCTAGTCATGAAGACACTGAAGAATTCTACCAACATCTTCAATCAGAAATTGATCGAACATGCAGTGTTGATAAATTTCATTTCCAATTGCCAATATTTATCAATGGGGGTTGGTGAGATGCATTGATAAATATTGGCAATTGGAAATGAAAAAAGTTGGAAACAAAGAAGGAACAGTAGTTGGAAAACATGGCCTTAGTGCTATAAGCGAAGCTGAAGATGCCAGGATAGAATTTTGCAAGATTGATGACTTGTTCGTAGCCAATCTCTTTTTTTTTTTTTTTCCCAACAACACAAAAAGCGACACATGTTCTTCTCCAGCTGGAATACAATTGACACCTGTGGGAAGTTCATTATCAGCAGCTAAAACCGAGCCAGGGGCTGAGTGTGGAAATCCCCATCAGTTGTTCGTATGTAAGCCCAGGTGGAAAGTGAAGCAAATGGAAACAAGGCGACAAGAGCCCCAACAGGACCTTGAGTCTATCTCACGTGGATTTCAAGAACATCTCAAGAACAGATTTGATACACTGAACACGGAGGAGCTGTGGGAGGGCAGCATTCATGACGAAAGCAAAAGGTCATTACAAAAGACAGGAAAGAAAGAGAAGACCAGCCCCGTCCCTTGTCCAGGTTAAAGACTCGGAGAGACCTGAACGAGGTCAAGAGCTCCTTCCCCTGTCATTCGAGTAGTGAGGTGAGCCCAAGAGGAAGGGCTTGTGGGCTGCATCAGGCACCGCAGGGAACACAACTGCAGGGACATAGACCAATCGCCTGGAAGACAGGAGGTCTTCTGACCTTCAATCACTGTCCCTGGAGGATAAGTCTGTCCAAGGTCATGACCTGGGGGATCTCCTCCACCGAGCAGAACTCCCCAAATGCAAAGTGCTTGTCCTGGTTAGTCTGCATAAATCTCCACAGCCAAGACTAGTCCATCGGGGGCTCCTCCGTGACACCAAAGGGGATGCTGGTCACTAGAGGTGTTAGCGTCTGTCTGCTGACCTCAAGCACTGTCGCCTGGGGTCAAGGCCAGGCTGTTGGGGGTCATGGTGGGGAGGAGGGTGGTGGCAGAAATCTGACCCAAAGCTTGCCTGGCCTCGTACTGCAGGGCACTGATGGGTGGAGAGCCTGCGGTCCGCAGGTCCCAGCACTTGCACTGTGAAGGTCCCCCATGCTCCTCTTGAGCACCGCTGGTCTGAGGGTCCCTTTCCTTCAGGCACTGTGCTGGGCCCGGCTCCCAGGCTTTCTCTTGGCCCTGCTCTTGTTCATTCTCCTTGAACTGCAACTCCAGCTCTTCCGGTCTGAGTTCAGAGGCCTCCGAGTAGCCCCGGCCGGCTCTGGCTCTTGCCACTCGGGCCACTTCCTCTTTTGCTGTAAGTTTTTCATTAGAAACTTCATCCTTTTGTTGCAGGAGAGGTGCTTGATCTGACCCCACGGCACCAGGGCAAAACACTAAGGACATGCAGCGGAGCAGCACGGGGAGCAAAGCCAAGCCATGAAGTCCCCGAGACATGCCAAAGGTGGACTTTGGGGCGGGCGTGGCACCTCAGTGGGCTCAACTGGAAAACACACATAAAGGCCAACAGACAGACCTGGGACTGTCTGAGGGCTTATTTTTTTTTTTTTGGCTGTTGGTTTTTAATTAATGAATTTATTTTTGTTTTTGTTTTATTTTTTTATTATACTTTGCTTTGCTTTGTTTTTGCACATATTATTGTCTATGCATGTCTATCTGGACAAGATAGGCAGGATGAACAATCCAGAGGAGAGAACAATGGGGCGGACAGTTCTGGGGGGGACACGGGGGAGGTGGAGGTGGGGGAAAGAAAGGGGCTGCCAACAAACCCAGGGACAAGGGAAGAATAAGTGATCTAAAATTGATGTCAAGAAGGGAGTAGGATGCTTGGGGGTGGGGGCTCAAGGGGGCAACATAGACAAAATGTGTGCATAAGCAAATGTGGTGAAGAAAGCTGATGGTGCCTGGCTATCACAAGATATAGCTTAAAGGCTTGGGGTCTTAAAGGCTTGAAGATAAACAAGCAGCCATCTAGCTCAGAAGCAACAAAGTCCACAAGGAAGAAGCACACCAGCCCGAGTGATTACAAGGTGTCAATGGGATCAGATATCAAGCATTAAAGACCCAAAGCAAACAAAAAAATCATACTGATGTGAATGAGGGGAGGGCAGAGTGGAGACCCAAACCCCATCAGTAGTTAATTGGACATTCCCTGTCAAATGGTCCACATGAAGAAACAAACCAGTCAGGGTGCAGTGTAGCAACAACGAAACATACAACTTTCCTCTAATTCTTTAATGCTCCCCCCGCCCAACTACCATGACCCCAATTCTACCTTATAAATCTGGCTAGACAGAACGTGTATACTGGTACAGATAAGAGCTTAAAACACAGGGACCCCAGGACAGATAAAATCCTCAGGACCAAAAAGAGAGTACTGATACTAGGAGGGTAAGGGAAGTGGGCAGTAAGGGGGAGCCTATCACAATAATCGATGTATGGCTCCCCTCCCAGGGGGATGGACAACAGAAAAGTGGGTAAAGGGAGACAGCGGTTGGTGTACGACATGAAAAAAAATAAAAGAACAATTTATAAATTATCAAGGGGTCATGGGGAAAGGAGGGTGGGGAAGGGAGGGGAAAAATGAGGAACTGATACCAAGGACTCAAGTAGAAAGAAAATATTTTGAAAAAGATGATGACAACATATGTACAGATCTGTTTGACACAATGGATAGATATATGGATTGTGATAAGAGCTGTCAGAGCCCCCAATAAAATAAAATGAACCTCATCCTTAAAAAAAAAAAAAGATGGACAGCGTAGATCGGCTTTCCATTCAATGACTTTGTCTCGACGCCATCCCACAGTGTAACCTGGAGGATCCCATTTCCTCCGGTTGCTTCCTGTCTCCCTCCCTTCTCTCCTAAGTCTCCCCAAGGTTGTCCTTGGGTAAATGCAGCCCTTTGGAGCTCACGTGGTTGATGCTTCTAAAGTGTCTGTACCTTTGCCGTGTCGTCGCTCCTCTTCTGTGGTGGGGTGCCCTGAGTCGGTTCCGACGCCCAGCGACCGGACCACAGCAATGAGGAACCCCTGCGGGGTCCTGTGCTATCCTCACAATTGTTCCTATGGCTGAGCCCACGGTGGCAGCCCCAGTCTCAACCCATCTTGTGAAAGGCCTCCCACCTCTTGGCTCCTCTCCTCTTTGCAAACAAGCACGAGGTCCTCCAGAGCCTGGCCTCTCCTGACAACGCGTCCGACGTGTGTAAGACGAGTCTCGGCATCCTTAGGAACACGCCGGCCTCCTAACAAGTGTATGTAGCAAAGCGCAGGCTCTTCCGGTCAAAGCCAAGTCCAGCGCTGCAATAAGAAAGCCGGCCACAGTAGGCGGGCTGAGCAGGGGAGGTGTGCACGCGTCGGGGGCGTGGCCTCGAAGGGCGTCGGGGGCGGGGCCTGCACTGTCTCCTCCCTCTCCTCCTATTTCCCACCCCCCGCCCCGCCCCGCCCCGCCGCTCTGGAGCTGGGGTCAGAAAGCAGGATGGCCCGGCCGCGTGTACACTTGGTCATCACCGCGGACGATTTTGGTTACTGCCCGCGGCGCGACGAGGGCATCGTCGAGGCCTTCCTGGTGGGGGCAGTGACCAGCGTGTCCCTGCTGGTCAACGGTGTGGCCACGGAGAGCGCGGCCGAGCTGGCTCGCAGGTGAGAGGCCCTCCCCCGGGCGGGGTGATCCTGGAGCCCACGGCGCCCCGACCCGCGCGCCGCCTGACCTCCTGCGCCGGTCACAGACACAGCATCCCCACCGGCCTCCACGCCAACCTCTCCGAGGGCCGCCCCGTGGGCCCGGCCCGCCACGGAGCCTCGTCGCTGCTCGGGCCGGAAGGCTTCTTCCTCGGCAAGATGGGGTTCCGCAAGGCGCTGGCGGCCGGAGACGTGGCCTTGGCACAGGTGCAGGGAGCGGGCGGGGCGGGTGCTGTCGGCGGTGTCATGCGTCCTCCGGAGCCGGCAGACGGAGGGGGCCTCCCCGGAGTCCCTCGCGATGGGTCCCTTGCAGACGCTCCAGGGATCACCGTCCTCCCCGTACAGGTGCGGGAGGAGCTGGAGGCCCAGCTGAGCCGCTTCCGGGAGTTGCTGGGCAGGGACCCCACGCACGTGGATGGGCACCAGCACGTACACGTGCTTCCAGGTGGGAGGGGCCTGGCTCCCATGTGGGGGGTGGGCGCAGGTAGGCGGTGTCCCCCAGGGGTGCAGAGTAATGGGCGTGCTCCCAGATTGGAAGTGCCCCCAGGTATGGAAGGATGCTAGGGGGCCGTGGGAGGTGTGCCCCCTCCTAGAGATGGGTGCTCGGCTCGGCTTTGCTCGCAGGCGTGTGCCAGGTGTTCGCCGAAGTGCTTCAGGCCTTCGGGGTACGTTTCACCCGGCTGCCACTGGAGCGCGGGGTGGGCGGCTGTGCGTGGCTGGAGGCCCCAGCGCTGTCCTTCGCCTGCGCGGTGGAGCAAGATGCCCGGGCCGCCATGGGGCCCTTTACCCGCCACGGCCTGCGGTGAGGCCCCCTGTCCCCACCCCACCCACCCCCGTCCAGTTGTACCCCTACCCATTGCAATACCCTGCAGACCCCCTCCGCTGATGGCTCCCCTTTCTTGCGCGCGCCCACAGGTGGGCCGACGCCTTCGTGGGCCTGAGCACTTGCGGCCGCCACATGTCCGCGCACCGCGTGGCAGGGGCGCTGGCCCGGGCCCTGGAAAACGTTCCGGCGGGTCGCACCATGACAGTAGAGCTGATGGCACACCCTGGCTACCCCAGCGTGCCACCGGCTGGGGGCTGCGGCGAGGGCCCAGACGCCTTCTCCTGCTCCTGGGAGCGGCTGCACGAGCTGCGAGTCCTGATGGCACCCACGCTGCGTGCCCGTCTCGCCCAGGATGGCGTGCAGCTCTGTGCCCTAGATGACCTGGACTCCAAGAGGCTTGGGGAGGGTCCACCCAGCGAGTCCACTCTGGAGACCTCCCTGGACATCCCCCTACCCTGACGCCCATGAGCAGTCATGCACCAACGTCCTTTAGTTAAAAGAAAGCGGGTGTGTGCCAATTCCCAACCAGGAATCAGGCCTGGAGTTGCCCCTTGAAACAATCTAACTAGGCCTGGCGCTGCTCCCCAGGGGCACTCTTCCTGGCTGCATGCAGGGCCAGCCTGTGACATCTGGCCCTGGTGTCCCCTTATGTGACAGTGTAAATGTTGTATAGGGGCCTTTGGTAGGGCGCACCACATGAATAAAATACCTTATGTATCATCTAACTTGGGGGAATGTGTACACTGTGCCAGGAGGCCTAACCAAAAGGTCAGCCCTTCAAAACCACCAGCTGCTCTGCTGGAAACAGATGGGGTTTTCCACTTCTATAGAGTGACAGTCTCAGAAACCCAGAGGGGGCAATTCTACCCTGTCTTCTAAGGACGCTATTGGTTGGGCACTGACTGGATCGATGGCAGAGTTTGGCAGAACAGAAACAGGAATGCGCACAGAGCCAGCCACCTCCAAGGTGGAGAGCCCAGAAAAAATACAGAACAGGCCCCTCAGGTTCTGTCTGTTCAGGTTTAGGTGTTTGATGGTGTGTCATATCTTATCTCTGGGCGTGGGGGAAATTGTGAGAAATGGACCTTCTCAGGTTGCTTTCTGGGTGGCCCTCTTTGCACCTCAAAGCAGGATTGAACACAAAAGCAAGCAGCTCCCTGCTGCGGGGGATGAACTCCAAGTGGCCCTTTAAGTTCAGTGTTGTTACTCGATCCCACCGACTCACAGCGACCCCCGTGTGTCAGGGGATGGAATTGCTCCAGAGGCTTTTCTGGGCTGCGATGGTTTAAAGCAGTGGTTCTCAACCTTCCTCATGCCGCGACCCTTTCATACAGTTCCTCCTGTGGTGGGGTCCCCCAACCATAACATTATTTTCATTGCTACTTCATCACTGTCATTTTGCTACTGTTATGAATCGTCATGTAAATAGCTGATAGGCAGGATGTATTTTCATTGTTACAAATTGAGCATCACTAAACATAATTAAAGCATAGTGATTAATCACAAAATGATATGTAATCATATATTGTGAAATATTTGTGTTTTCCGATGCTCTTAGGCGACCCCTGAGAAAGGGTCGCTCGACCCCCAAAGGGGTCATGACTCACAGGTTGAGAACCGCTGGCTTAAAGGGTTTACCGGGAAGGTTTCCACAGCAGATTGGTTTTCCACTCCACGATTCAGGCACCGTGCAAGGTGCCCCCGCCTCCTCCTGTGTGTCTTGTTTCCATGCGTCTTTGCTGTCCCTTCTGAATGTTGTCCTTGAGTCAACGCTGCCATTTGAGCTCAGCTGGTGGATGATTCAAAGGAGTGCCTCTCTCTCTGGGGTTGGAGCTCCCTATTGTCTGGTTGGAAACGAGGGTTGGGGTAAACTCAGTTCTGGACCTGAAAGGGGGGTGGCTAAGGGTCATAGTCTAGGGCAGCAGTTCTCAACCTGTGGGTCTCGACCCTTTGGGGGTCAAACGACCCTTTCACAGGGGTCGCCCAATCCATCACAGTAGCAAAATGACAGTGATGAAGTAGCAACGAAAATAATTGTATGGTTGGGAAGTCACCATATGAGGAACTTATTAAAGGGTCCAAGCATTAGGAAGGTTGAGAACCACTGGTCTAGGGGGTCCCATCAGATTTTTTTAAAGTCATTTTATTGGGGGCGTGTACAACTCATCACAATCCATACATCCCATCCATTGTGTCAAGCACATTTGTATATTTGTTGCCACCATCATTCGCAAAACATTTGCTTTCTGCTTGAGCCCTTGGTATCAGCTCCTCATTTCCCCCCTCCCTCCCTGCTACCCCCTCCCCCATGAACCCTGGATAATTTATAAATTATTATTTTGTCATATCTTACACCATCCAACATCTCCCTTCACCCACTTCTCCGCTGTCCATCCCCCGGGGAGGTCATATGTAGATCCTTGTAATCTGTTCCCCCTTTCTACCCTCACCTTCCCTCCACCCTCCCGTCATCGGATTTTTAAAAACAGTTTTACTGGGACATAATCCACTTATCATACCACTTAATAGTTTAATCATATGGAGAATTATACAATCATTACCGCAATCAGTGTTAGAACATCTTTCATTATTAGCTCCCCATCTCCCACCCACCACCCACTTCCCCTGCCAGACCCCCAAGAACCATGAATGCAGTTACTATCTCTCTAGATTCACCCAGGCTTGATCTCATGTAGTGAGAAACATACCATATATACTCGAATAGAAGCCAACCTGAATCTCAGCTGAGGCACCTAGTTTTACCACAAAAAACGGCATTGAGAAATGTATGGAAAAACTCGGCTTATACACGAGTATATACGGTATAAAAACCCAAGACCAAGAAACAGAAAGGCTAGCAACACTAACAAAATAAAACAGAGGAAAATCTCCATAGAAAAGCAAGCAGAAAATATTAAAAGCTAGAACAAATGTGAAACGGGCAGAAGGGAGCTCAAATGATAGTGTGTTAAATGTGAACCTAGCTGCATCTGCCACAGTCCACTTTCCACTGCACCCTGCATGATAGCAAGGCTGGCACATCCCTGGTCTATGGCCTGGAAGGGGGCTGGGGTGGGGGTGAGGGACCTCACTGAAGGTTTACCCAGGCTTATGTTTTCTTCACTTAAAAAAAAAAAATCTGACACATTTAAAAGGGCCAAAAAGGGAATCAGAGATGATCTATTGGATCTTTTTTTTAAATGAGTTTTTTCCCCACATCTTTCCCCCACTATTTAGGATCTGTCTTGTGAGGCCTCTTCTTTGATGGGTCAGTGGTAGGATTGGCTATAATCTTTTTAAAAAAATCATTTTATTGGGGGCTCATACAACTCTTATCACAATCCATACATCAATTGTGTAAAAGCACATTTGTACACTCCTTACCCTCATCATTCTCAAAACATTTGCTCTCCATTTAAGCCCCTGGCATCAGCTCCTCATTTTTGCCCACTCCCTCCCTGCTCCC